ACGCTCCTTATAGCTTCTACATTACAGCTATAATCTTAGTTTGACAAGAAGACAACATAAAAGGGCTAAAATAAAGTAAAACAGCCCTCTAAAATTCTCTTTTTTTTTATTTTGGCATTTTTTCAATCAGTTAACATGCATATACAAAAATAATCTTTCTTCTCCTCAGTCTAATCTTGGACAGGCCCAAAAACATCACAACAACAAAACCAACAAGAGAAAGGGACAAAGCAGCACCTAAACACTTTTTAATCTAATTAATTGAGGAGAAGAAAAACTGGAAAAAAAGGAAACAAAATGTACCTCAATGGAGATTGCAGTCCTTTGTCTAAGTTTTTGATGAAATTTGTCAAGCTCCAATAGCCCAACCCGTCGCTGCCTCCCTTTTGTTGTCTGCAAGGGTGTTGTGGAAATATTGGGAGAGAGGAGGTCCGAGAGATGTATTCAGAGGGAAAAAAAATTGGAGTCTTGGTTTTGTTGAGAGCAAAAGAAAATGGCCGAGAGAGTGTCCCCTTTTTTTCTTTCTTCTGTCCGTTTTTTTTTTTTGAGTCCGCCCAGAGAGGGAGGGAAAAATTTTCTTTTGTCTTGTCTTCTGTGTGTGTGTCTCGAGAGAGTAAATTGAGGGAATAGTTTTTTTTTTGTCCCTCTTGTCTGATGAGGGGGAGAGCCGAGAGAGGAAATTGAGCCAAAAAGGTGGAGTCTTGTTCTCATTTTTTTCCTTTTTTTTTTTAATATTTTGGTTTGTTGTTGTTTTTTTTTTTCTAAAATAAACTTGTGAAAATGAGAAAATTACACAATAAAATGTAAAAAATAAATAAATAAATAAAAAACTTATCAAATAGATAAAATCCAATAAAACATTGAAAATTGACAAAAATTTGGTGTCTACAACTTGCCCCTCTTTGTCTAGAGTTTCAAAGAAACTCAAGACAAAGATATAGACACCAAATTGCTTACCTGTTTCTTTTAACTGCACCTGAGCTAAAATAAAAAATCAACACTTGGCTATAATTATTGAGCAAAATAATGCAATGAAATTACAAAAACGTGACCGAACTCATGTAGAGTTGCCTATGTATCCCGCCATGGGTATCAGGTTAAACGTAGTTCAAATGCAAGCTATTCGAACGACTGACGCTTTTGAAATGAGGACTGACCCCAAAATTTTAAAATGGACTGACCCAAACAAAAAATTTAAAACGGGACTGACCCGAACGAGAAATTATCATGGGACTGACCCGAACAAGAATTTAAACATGGGACTGACCCGAACGAGAAATTTTAAATATGGGACTGACCCGAACGAGAAATTTTAAATATGGGACTGACCCGAACGAGAATTTAAACATGGGACTAATCCGAACGAGAATTTATCATGAGACTGACCCGAACAAGAATTTAAACATGGGACTGACCCGAACGAGAAATTAAACATGGGACTGACCCGAACAAGAAATTTAAACACGGGACATGACCGAAACCAGAACTTAAACATGGGACTGGACCGAACGAGAATCTAAACATGGGACTGACGCCGAACAGGAAATTTAAACATGGGACTGACCCGAACGAGAATTTATCATGGGACTGACCGAACAAGAATTTAAACATGGGATTGACGCGAACGAGAAATTAAACATGGGACTGACCCGAACAAGAAATTTAAACACGGGACTGACTCGAACGAGAAATTATCATGGGACTGACCCGAACAAGAATTTAAACATGGGACTGACCCAAACAGGAATTTAAACATGGGATTGACCCGAATAAGAAATTTAAACATGGGACTGACCCGAGCGAGAATTTACCATGGGACTGATCCGAACGAGAATTTAAACATGGGACTGACTCGAACAAGAAATTTAAACACGGGACTGACCCGAACGAGAAATTATCATGAGACTGACCCGAACAAAAATTTAAACATGGGACTGACCCGAACGAGAAATTATCATGGGACTGACCCGAATAAGAATTTAAACATAGGACTGACCCAAACGAGAAATTATCATGGGACTGACCCGAGCGAGAATTTACCATGGGACTGACCCGAACAGGAATTTAAACATGGGATTGACCCGAACAGGAATTTAAACATGGGATTGACCCGAACAAGAAATTTAAACACGGGACTGACTCGAACAAGAAATTATCATGGGACTGACCCGAACAAAAAATTTAAAATGAGAAATTCCAGTATACTTACCTGAAAATAGCCCAAATTTTTTTTTTTTTTTGCCCCAGTAGAGGTTAAGTTTATGCATCTAAGCCAATAGTTGATTCTGCATTGCCATGTTGTTGCACCTTTTGATCAAACTTGCTTGCAACATTTTTCGATCCGCCTTTGTTCACTGGAGAACTCTTTCCGATACCGACTCCAGTGCAAGTTGTGATTGTTTTCATCTATGCATGCAATTTTTCTGCAAAAGAGAAAGAACAAAGAAATTGCCACCATCATTTGATCCGTTTCCCTTTGAGAATCGTGTAAACATGAGTCTTTTGATGCCTTCATCCACTTTTGCTGTGGCATTTTTTTTTTCAGACTAACCAGGTATGCATTTTGCCATATTGTGAAACCTGCGTAGCCAGCTTTGCTGAATTTCAACCATTTTCAAAAGATGACTGAATCCAAATATGCTTCGAATAAACCATAGGGATTGTCATTCACCAAAATTCAATGATAAAAATAAAAATATAAAAAATAATATAAAAAAATGAAATATGCAAGGTAATTTCACATGTCATACAGAAATGGATATGCAAAAGAATGCAAATTCAACTAATTGGACTTTAAAACCTACAAAATGCCATAAATACAAGCGATTGAGAAAAGATGAGCTTCATAAGAATGTATTTGTAAAAGAACATTTTTACAACGTGACACAGCTTTTGGCCAACTGATGTCATATTCGAATCTCTGGATATCTTTGTTCCGGAATTCAACATTGGCAGAAGTATAACAAAACGAAGAGAAATTCAAATGAACCAAAGTCACCAGCTGTTTCTCCTCGTGCTCGCTTACTGCAGAACCCTACCTTGGCGTCCTTTCGGATTTTCACCACCAAGATTGCCCCCACCCTTTTTGTTTTGTTTTTTTTTTGTTTTTTTTTTGTTTTGTTTTGTTTTTGTTTTAGTTTTGTTTTTTTGTTTTTGTTTTCCTTTTCTTTTCTCTTTTCTTTTTTTCTTTCCCCCTTTTTTTTTTTGAGGTGTCCTTTCAAGTTTTCACCTAAGAAACAATAGAAAATCTCGACCATGATCAATTTCGGCATGTGAGTTGAAGATTGCTGGCATCAGTAAAATGCGCTTCTCCTATAAGGTTAGGCGAAGGCATTATGGGCATCACTTGCCAATTGATTAGCGAATTTCCTAATAGAAATACAGCAAGTGACGAAAGTCAGGACTTTGGGCTTTTGTAATGAGGTCAGGTGGGGTGTTTTTCAAGAAAAGTTGAGGCTTGAAAGCAATTTTTTTTTTTTTGAGAGATGTGAAATAACCTGAAATTGCATCATTTTGAAATTATCTCCAATTTTTGAATGAAATCGAGGAAATTTTGCCCTAGTTTGATTGGATTTTTCTCTCTTTGCATTTTCTTCATTGCATTTTTCTCACTTTTGCATTTTTCTTCAAAAACTAAATTTGCCCCAGTGTGGGGTTCTTTCTTCTTTTCATCTCTCTTTCAAAATAAATTTGCTCCAGTGTGGAGTTTTCCTTTTCTTTCTGATCATCTTTTTCAAAATAAATTTGCCCCTGTGTGGGGCTTTTCTTTTCCTTTTCCTCTTTTGGATCATCTTTTTCAAAATAAATTTGCCCCAGTGTGGGGTTTGCAATTCTCAGGGGCTGTCAAACGAAAATTATTGTTCTGATAGCTCAAAGGGGATGATTAGGAATGAAATGTTTTGATTGGAAAGGAAGATGGCCTGACTTTTGTCTCGTCCCTTGCGTGATTTCTAAAAGAAATTTGCATAATCAAATAAAGAACTTCTTACACATGTCTAAGTCGATAGGTTGAGGGAATGTCTGTCCATCCATCTCTGCTAAAACAAGTGCTCCGCCCGATAGCACCTTTTGAACGACAAATGGGCCTTGCCAGTTTGGGGCAAATTTGCCTTTGGCCTCATCTTGTATTGGCAAAATTCACTTTAGCACTTTGTCTTCTTCTTCGGAGGATCGCCGGTGGACATTTTTGTTGTAAGCACGGGCCATGCGTTTTTGGTAACATTGGCAGCGACATATAGCATTCAGACGCTTTTCATCAATCAGAAGGTAGTACTCCGCAACCGGATGAGCCAAAGTGAAACAAGTGAACGAAAGAGGGAAACGAACAAGTGTATCGGCAAAGGCTTATGCATTAGAAACCACAAGCTCCTGAGCCATCTGAAAGTAAAATTTCGAGGACGAAATTTCCTTAAGGAGACAGAGATGAGAGCCCGTAATTTTCTTAAGTACTAGGTTTTATTTTCTTTTAATTGCACGTTTTTCCACATTTTATAGATTTGAAAAATTGTGAAAATATTTTTTATGAGTAAATATAGTTTTTAGATGATTTTTCTAGTATCGAATAGTTTTGAGAAATTAAGAGTGTATACCGGACGTGTGACCCGCTAGTGCGAAAAGTTCGAAAAAATTCGGCTAACTAGGTTAAGTTTTGGATACTGGGTTTAATACATATGGGGCAGTTAACTGTGGGACAATATTGGTCAGGGGCGTTAGAGTTGGTATCAGAGCCGACTCCCGACCCCGGTGTGCCAGCGAGGACGCTGGGTTCCCTAAGAGGGGTGGATTGTAATGATCCCACATCGGCTAGGGAGGAAGTCCTGGGGCTGTTTTAATAGCCTGTAGTGGTCTCTCCCACCTGACCGAAGCCTTTTGGAGGGGTGCTGGGCTTCTTGACCTGCGAGCTTGGGCTCTTCACTTGTTGTGGGCTATAACCCCACCTCCAGGAACAAAATCCACGGCCAATGGGGCGGTTAACTGTAGGACAATATTGGTCAGGGGCGTTAGAGTGCGCTTAAAGAAAGCCTCCTCACTCTTGCAATGCTTTCAACATAGAATATATATGACCATCTAATTCCAAGAATCTGAAAGTAACTAGAACATAATTAAAGCAGACTCCATCAACAATCAAAACAGTCAAAGTTAAAGTGGAAAATGTAGAGATAGAGAGACTTAAATCCTTAACCACCTTCTGAGTTTGCAACTCTGCCGCCATCATATTATTAAATTAACAAGAGGAAGCTACTGACCTATAACTGTATTGTTGTACTAGTAAATTAACAAGAGGAACCTAATGATCTATTAAGAAGTTGGAAAAGAACATTGAGTATGGACACTTGCAGATGAAGGACATAAAACCTTGAAGATGAAAGCAATTGCGCAAAGAGGTATACAAGTTCCAGGTCCATTGCACAAAATCTGCAGAGAGTACAAATACAGAACCAACAAAGCAAAAGGGTAAGAGGAGAAAAAAGCCAGGACTTCACAGTAGTTTATAGAGAGAGTGTCGTGTATAAGGTATATGAAATACCACATGAGGTCTAATCTTTATCATTAGCCACAATGCATGAGCCAAAGCGATTAAGGTGGTTCCAACAGAGGTTATATATGATTGACCGACGTCTCGACTTCGGTATATCTGCATGAATTTAGCAGATCCAACCTCTTCAACTCCTCCCTAAAACAAGAGAAAGCAGTTAAAGAATACCTTCATTGGTTCTTCTTCTACTAGACAGCCTAAGTAGGGGAAGAAATCTCCATAGCACATAAACAAACTAAAGAACCATCAAAAGTAGCCCAACTCTCACGTACAAACTTAATGCGTTCATTAAATGAAGAAGATATGTTGGGTGTTTCATCCCATGAAGACACAAGAATTAACAGAAACATGTAATTTTCTCTTATTAACTACCGAATCTAAACTAAGCACACTAGAAAGTGTCGTATATCAAAAGTTGGATGTAGATAGATTTGACCCAACTACTAAGAAACAGGAACAAAGATAGTGCATTGGACCTTTGAGACAAACAGAGTTTTCAAGGTTATAAGAAAATCATTTTAAAAAAAGCAACCTGCATGTATAGTTGCAATTCTTGTGGAAACCAAACCTTTATACTTGGATTTTGGAGTAAGGAGGTTGATTCTGATGACTAACTGTTAAATACTGAAAAGAGGCTGTCATTTATCACATGAATGATCCAAACAGATGTTTATATGTCCAATCCGTTCCTTTTCATAAGCTTTACTGGATCACTGATGTAAAATTAATGATTCATCCGATTATCTTTTGTCAATAACAATAGATGAATAATTCTCTAAGCTAATAAATAGTTCAATCTAATATAGATCAATACAACGATTCACATCCTAGATTAGTTGTCCACAGAATACAGTCCTACTAATAAAGATAAATTCAGTAATCAAGAACTCAACAGGACAAAACGGAACAAAATACCTCATTGAGCCAAGAGCTTTCAAGAACTTGTGCCTTTTGAAGGCTCATGTTATCAGTCGCAGCGGCAATATAATACCTAGGCGTAAAACTATTTTTCTGAAGCACGTTCAACAAATTAATCATCTCCGCTGTATGACCACCTACCATCACAAATTCATTGCAAGCAAAAAATATATAAACAAACCCATTAATAAAAATGGAAAAATCAACAAAACCCACAATCCAAAACTCAAAAATAGATCAAATAATAAAGGATATGCATACCCGAACCCAGAACAATGAGGGTGCTGAGGGGTTTGCTGTGACGAGGCACTACGAGGTTGGCTGCTCCGATGTATAATGTATAAAACCCGGATCAAGATCAAGGTAATAAACCCAATAATTGATAAAAGTACTAAGCTTGAAGGTGTGATTGAGAGACAATAATTGTTGCTATTCTCCATAGTTACCGTTTACCCTACATCACACTGAAATTAGCTAAAGAATCAGCTACTAAAACTAGGGGAAATTTGTTTAATTGAAAAATAACAGATCAAGTAGGTTGAGCAGGGTTGACGAGAGAATTGTCAGGATAGTTAGCCAGAGACGACGTGACGGGGGAATTGAGGGGAAAGGTCAAGTGAGTGCAAGTCTAAAACGTCCCGAATACACCAAGGTGAGGATATTTCTTGGATCGCCTTGACCTTGCCAGGATTGGCCTCTATGCCCCGTTGTGAAACAAGGTATCCTAAGAACTTTCCCGAAATGACCCCAAAAATACATTTTTTGGGGTTCAGCATCATGCGGGTAGCACGGATTACCTCAAGGGCCTCTCTTAGGTTGGCCAAAAAGGTGGAGGTCTTCAAGCTCTTGAGGAGGATGTATCAAGATGATTTGACTGGTCCCTGAAAAGGCGTGTAAGGGCAGTTGTCAGAGTCAGGCGGCGCCTGTGTTGGAGCAGCTTTCTGTCAGGCGTCCTGTGCGTCAGAGGAATATCCCCAGTTTTACAACCTTTTCTATTTTCCATGCTCACATTGCCTTTTCCTTCATCTCTTACAATGTTATACCAAATTAAGATGTTTTGGTATATAAAGCGGTTGTAGAAAGAAGAACTAAGGGCTAAAAAGTATGCGTCAGTGTACTTGCTGTCCGTTGATGGAACCCCAAGGTAGTTGCTGTCAACTTCCCCTGCCACATTAAGTAATATTCACCGTTGAGTACAAGGAACAGCTAAAACTGAGCTAATTTTTTTCTCCTGCAAATTGTACATTTTATCATAGAACCATCTCCATCAAATACACAGTAAGTCAAGTCATCCTCCCAGATGATTGGCGCACAAGTCATAGCCCAAGTTTCATGAAACCGAATTTCAGAAAAAAGAAATGCATTAGACCACTAGTGATGAGCATTCTTATCAATTTGCTGATGAATTCCAGAACAAGTGTGTCCTAGAAAGAAATTAAATAACAAGATGGAAAAGGATATGGTGTAAACAAAAAGGAAAGGAGAGATCCATTCAGGATATCTCATCAAATCAGAAAAAGTTTGAACTTAAACGTCAAATTAACAACCCCCCTCCCCAAAAAAAAAAAAAAACCCCCGAACCCGGAAAAATTTTAAAAGAGGCAAAAAAATCGCATTAGATTCATTGTAACTGATAATGGACCATTTTATGCAACTTTTTCATCAATTTATTGTGCTTGTGACCAGGAAAACTTGGCTTTGTTCAAGCATTAAGTCCTAAAATAAGTTAAGAAGATTTAATCAAGACACTAGTCATGTTCTACCAAAAATGGAAATGAAATTAGTCAAAAAGGCAGTTTCACTCTGACTAACCGGCAGAGTATAGGATATATAATTACAGGGCCAGTTTTATAAAGCATCATTCAGAATTAGTTTAACAATTTTCCAGTCTATATACATTATGTCTCGATGCTACAACGTCAGAACCATCAAATATAAAACTGTGCAGTTTGTCATTCTTCTCTGTTGGGTGGTGAGTTAGAATCTGGATAGTATCTAATCAAGCCTCGTAGACAAGCCTCTCCATGCAATAATCACATAGTAAAATGTGCTTTGAGATAGAACTTAATTTCTACGCTAATGTTAACATGCTATTCCTTTGTGGTGTGAAAGCATTTCTAAATAATTAGCCAATGCTGACTAATTTTCATAGATTGCACCCAAAGACAACCATGGTTTCATAAAATTAAAGAGACACCTGTCAGAAGGGCTACTATAAACCACACATATATGACAATAACTTGAAATTTATACATTGAAGTACCTTTGAACAGCTGCAAAAAATGAATGAGTTACATAAGACGCCCAACATAATGAGCTCGATGATATTTTGATTTTAGTTGGGGCCACTGCACAAATAACTGACCAGCCATGCGTAGTTTGTAAAAACAGTGCGTGTGACAACCCCACCTCCCCTAAGGCGAACCAAAGGGTTCGGCGGACCGCCTGCCCAACTCTCGCCGGGACTCAGTCGATCACTTCCATCCTCGAGCAAAAACCAGATCAAGCCCATACGAAAAACATAGCAATGATCCAAAAACTTAAACGAAACTTATATACCTTACGATCTCAAAAGGAAGTACAACCGTCGAATATACAAAGGTTCCAAATTCACCATACAACCAGCCCGTGCCAAGCACTAGTGCGAGAACCATTACAAAATCAAAAGCTAGACCAGCTAGTCTTACAGAGCTCTCGTCCTTGCTCGCCTTCCCCTGCTAAGGAAAACAAAACTAAAGGGATGAGCTAAAAGGGATCACGCCCCTGACCAATATTGTCCCACAGTTAACCGCCCCATTGGGCCGTGGATTTTGTTCCTGGAGGTGGGGTTATAGCCCACAACAAATGAAGAGCCCAAACCCGCAGGTCAAGAAACCCAGCACCCCTCCAAAAGGCCTCGGTCAGGTGGGAGAGACCACTACAGGCTATTAAAGCAGCCCCAGGACTTCCTCCCTAGCCGATGTGGGATCATTACAATCCACCCCCCTTAGGGAACCCAGCGTCCTCGCTGGCACACCAGGGTCGGGAGTCGGCTCTGATACCAACTTTAACGCCCCTGACCAATATTGTCCCACAGTTAACCGCCCCACTGGGCCATGGATTTTGTTCCTGGAGGTGGGGTTATAGCCCACAACAAGTGAAGAGTCCAAGTCCGCAGGTCAAGAAACCCAGCACCCCTCGAAAAGGCCTCGGTCAGGTGGGAGAGACCACTACAGGCTATTAAAGCAGTCCTAGAACTTCCTCCCTAGCCGATGTGGGATCATTACAATCCACCCCCCTTAGGGAACCCAGCGTCCTCGCTGGCACACCGGGGTCGGGAGTCGGCTCTGATACCAACTCTAACGCCCTTGACCAATATTGTTCCACAGTTAACCGCCCCACTGGGCCGTGGATTTTGTTCCTGGTGGTGGGACAAAAGGTTCACTTTCTGCATTTTGGCAGGGACTATCGATTCATTTGGTTCCCCAGTCACACTACCAGGTGTACTCCTTTTTCGATTTTGAGAGGCCTTTATCTGTGTTTTGGCATTCTCAATTCGTTGGGCTTTCTCCAAAGCCTCCGTAAAGGTATTCACTTGCGCGCCGCCGCTAACGCCTCCTGGATGTCCAAGTTCAATCCCTGTATGAACCGCCTTACTCTTCTTGGTTCCGTGGCTACTAATTCGGAAGCAAACTTGGATAGTTTGGTAAATTTTGTTTCGTATTCATCCACACTTAAGGTCTCCTGGTGTAGTCCAATAAATTCAAGATATAAATATAAGATAAAGCGATAAACACATTCAATAAAAGGATACGAGCTCATAAGGAGCCATTCATTCATTCGTTCGTTCATTCATTCTCCTTTCATTCCCTTATTCCTCCGATCATTTAAAATTTGCATTTTTGTAAGTAAAACCCCAATCATTCATTCGTTCATTCATTTCATTCACCCCCTCTTGGAAATTGGCCAGGCTCCACCAACCTACAAGGTAATACTCGAGTATACCGAAACGTTCACCCAAGTCCCTAATCGTCCGACCGAGTCCACTTCTGACTCGAGACGACCGGTAACAAGGGGCAGTGGCCAGTTCAGTCAAAAGGCTTACATTCATGCACAACTAGCATTTTAATCGTTCATTCATTAAAATTTCACAACCATTTAGGCTGAGTGCGATAAAGTACACACTCGCCTCAAAACTCGCTTTAACAATCATTGAAAGCATTTAACATGTTATCAATCAATAATCAATAAGCTAAAAGGTCAAGGAAATATAACAAACAAGGAACACTCACCAAGAAAACCTAACGTGCAAAATTATCCTTCTGGATAGTATCTTTAATCACCAAGAAAACCTAAAATTCAACAAGAAAGAATATAGCACAACCAATTAGGGGGAAATCGAAGAAACCCAATAACTGATGAGTAAAACGCAATAAAATGACTTTAAAGCAAAACGGGGCATTTAGACTGATGGACGGAAATATCTAGGGTTTCATAAACCCAAACGCAAAACCAAACAAAAAGGGTTATAAAATTTTCCGGCAAAAACATTTGGACCAAAGACAAGTCGGCATCCAATGAGATAGGCGAGAAATATTGTTTTCGGAATCATTTATGTGGTTCAAAATCAATATACATTCAAGTAGGTATTATGGCCTACATGTCTTGACTGAGAAAACCTTAGGTCATACCTCTAAATTTTGGTATGAAGTAGTAAATAAACATTTGAAGGTCAAATGGAAAAGAAATCATATTTTAAGATGGAAACCCGGTCATGGTATTTGTCAAACGAAAAATATACAAGTTCAAATCGACACTTAGCCCTCGAGCCAAAATTTGGGCAGCACGCCCTTTGTATTTACCTATTTTCCAGCTATTTATGGCTTCATTATTTTCCTCATTCAAACCCAAGGGTACACACGCAACAATCTAAGTTCAATAGCCGTTCAGTAAGCTCCAAGTAGCACAAGTATAATTCAAACTAAGGAAAAGTCCGGAAATGAAAGTTAAGCTCTAAAATATTCAAATAAGCACAATAAGACTCGATTGTAAGTCATAAACCAATTCCACATACTACCAAAATAGGGTTCCATAAGCATATATAAGCATTAGAGGAAACCAGAAAAATCCGGAAAAGATTTAGCTTTAACCCTGAAAAAAAAACAGTGTTTGACGTCATATTGCGGTTTTGATACCAATTTCACTACAAATATCGGATGAGGGTACAAGACCCACCGTTTCGAAACTAAAAGACAGGGCTACAACATTGAAGAAGGTCACTCAGCACAGTTTCGAGTATAACAAGGTCAAAAATACCACAGACTATACCAGAATCGTAAAAACAGGTTTACAAAACGCATTCCGGCGTAAACATCATAAATCAGGGTACCGAAGTCCAAATCCTGAAAATTACTATACCGAGTGAATTCGAAATATAAAATCCACAAAT